CTCGCTGCCTGGCTAGGGCCAATATAGCCTGTGATGTGGACAAAGACGGAGGGGAGGCGGAGGCAGAATTTTTTTTTTTTTTTACAGTTGTGCTGTGTAGTACAGGAATTAATAAAAATGTGCCAATGTATACATTGGTTGTGTCTTTTGTGTTCATGTGAAAAGGTTTTGAGAGGGAGAACCACAAGCAACAGTTTTGGATATATTGTTTTGAATTTATTGCACCAGTGTGTAATACTATGTTGTAGTGTGTGTGTGTTTTTGAAAGCTTGTGTGTGATGTCCGAGGGAAAAGTTTGGTTTTTCAGCCAGAGTGAATGGTTATGAGTGTAGAGCTTAATTTTGACCTAGAAATAGGATGTTTGGGGAATTGGGTGAGACATTATGGATTTGTGTTTACTGTTTTGAGAATACGAGGCATAGTTTCAAGAAATGTGTTTAAGCAATCGAGAAAAACTGTAATAAGTGATTCATTGCGACTGAACCGAATCATTTAAACGGTTGATTCATTCAGGAACGAAACACCATCATGTTGCTCAGAGATGCAAAACAGTGCTGTGGCTGTGTTTGGAATGATTTTTTTGGAATGATTGGAAATACAGCAAAAACAGTCAATATGGTGTCTAAAACGTAAGTCTCTTAATAAACTTCTTGTTCATTGAGCTGTTGTAAAAAATCTTTATCAAATTTGTAATCATGGTAATTTTTTGGAGAAAAAACGGCACTCTTCGTGTGAAATTGATTAACTATATGAAGTGGTATAAATATATAAATTTTCTGCCCCCATGTCTTGAATTTGTGATAATTCTAAATGCATTTTAATTGACTGAATCATGCAGTGAAAGAACACACTCTAAATGCGCACTCGCACTAGTCTAGACTTCATGTACTGTATGTGTGCGCTCTGTAGGGGTGTTTACTCAATAATGTCAAATCGCACATCTTTAAAACAACAGTTACGATATTATCGCAGACGATAGCCTATGTCGCACACCCCTACCGCTGATGATCTGTTATCTTGGCTTTTTATCCTTGCAGGACCTAAGCATAATTAATATAAGATGATTATTTTACAACTTCTGTTATTGGAAAAATACAGAGGTTGGGACGGTCAACCCGGTTCTTGATGCGCTATCCGAAAACTATCCTCTTCCAGTGTTGCCAAGTCCGCGGTTTTCCCGCAGAATTGGGCTGCTTTAACACTGTTAAACGGTTGTTTTTTCTGTCCGCGGGTTGAAGAACGACCCCATTAACGTGATATTTAGCCCCTGGAACGCGAATTTTACCAGAGGAACCCTGCCAAAACATGCGTATTTTATCCTCGGAACGCGATTTTAAACGGGGACCCCTGGAAACGCGATTGGGCAGGTTTTGTTGTGAAAACCTGGCAACCTCTTCATAAAAGCAGTGGCGAACTTAAGAGGAAACGCATCAAACTAACAAAACACCCCAATCAAGTACAAGCAGGTAAGTTTCAATTACAATTTTAATATTTAGAGCTTCTGTTATGAATATTATTAAATTTTTTTATTTGAATTTCGTATTGAAATAAACATCGCCATTAGTGTATACATAGTTAATCGTTAGCATAAGCGCGGCTAACGCTAATATAATGAGCATTATAATGAATTTTGTTCATTTTGTTCAAAATGATTTCTGTTAACTATTTAATGCTCCTGTAACTTTTATTACTGTAAAAAACAGGAGGACATAATGGTATTTACTATTTTTACACACCAGAGGCTTTTAAATGAACTGTGTAACCAAAATATGCGTGTTAGAGAATGTACAAATGTATGGTTAACAGTGTTTATGTCATATTCTTTTTTTAGTTAGTTGTCAATCTTGGCTGAATATCTCTAGCAGGTTTTAAAAGCCCTTTAAAATTAAATATGAACACAGTTTGGATTAAATAAAAGTACAGTCAAATTTTATCTCCTGTATAGACTTTACTGTACAATGACTTAATGTTTTCTAACGTGAGTTAGATCTAGTAACATCTTACAGTGAGTGAACAAAATATTTTTAAAACATTCATTAATGTTTGTGAATGTTATTTAATACAAACACTTGATCATTCATGTTTGTTCATTGTGCATTAAATAATTTTAACAGATTGAACTTTGAAATTAACCTTATGAAGAATAATTGCCATATAACTATTGTTTATTGTTAGGTCATGTTATCTATCAAATAAAATCTAATAGTAAAGTGTTTTTAATACTACAGTTTCCATCTATTTGATATACACTTAATATATGTAATCTTATCTAAATTTATTATAAAAGCTGAGGTTTGTTATTTCCTAAAAAGTTATATTTAAACTGGTGTCAATGATCTAATGTTGCATTTGGTCAGACTCAGCCCATTGCTTTACTTAAATATATTATATTTTCCTTTTACAGCTGCAGACTGAGGAAGATCATGAAACACACCAGCAAACCCTAAAACAGACAACAGTTTACAGATGTTTTTCAGTGGCAGCAGAACTATGACTGAACTTTTGGGTGAAACTTGTTTACTTTTTTCATACTTTTATTACTTGTGGAAAAACTTGAAACAATTTTAAACAAGCTTCACCCAAAAATTTAGTCATAGTTCTGCTGCCACTGGAAAAACATCTGTAAACTGTTGTCTGTTTTAGGGTTTGCTGGTGTGTTTTAGGATCTTCCTCAGTCTGCAGCTGTAAAAGGAAAATATAATATACTTATGTAAAGCAATGGGCTGAGTCTGACCAAATGCAACATAAGATCATTGACACCAATAAATACAATATAAATAGGGATGCACCGAAATGAAAATTCTTGGTCGAAGCCGAAACCGAACAAAATTAAACACTGGGCTGAAGACCGAATACCGAACATAGTTTTTCGAGTTTTTTTCCCCCATGTATTTTGCCAAAAAAAAAATTCACCATTGCATAAATTAAAAAGTCAAAATGGGCTTTTTACTGTTTTGTCTTGCTTTTAAAAAAAAAAAAATCTATACCAAATAAAACAATTTTAAAAATATTTAACACTGAACATTTTTAACATTCTAGCAGACACTATACCAACAATGCACAATTTAACTTAAAATTAATAAATTAGTAAAATATTTTTTGCCCATCTTGAATCAGGCATGTTTTTTGTTTTTGTATTTACTGTACAATTAAAAGCAGCCTTGCTGAGAAGAGACTTCTTTTAAAACATTAGAAAATATTACAGATCCTAATGTGAACACTATGTGTGAATGTTATAATAAATGTATTAAAACGGAGCTGTTGTAACCCTGATAGCAACAGACTCCGGGGCGGATCCGCCCTCAAGTCGGCAGCTCCGCTGTACTGTCAGACTCTGGTTCGGTCATTCGCCCTGAATATGCCCCGCCTCCGGACAGCGCACTGTCAGTTAGCGGACTCATTATGGACACTGCTCGGATTAGCAATCCTCCTCAGAGTGGAGAAGCTGCGGCCAGTTTGAAGAAGACTGAACTCGGTAAGAATACTTTTAAAATATGCTTTATTTGTACAGTTGCCAGTAACATTAACATTAATAAAGTTGTTAATTGCTTTGCTGTAGTTTTTAATTTTTGAAATTGCATTGTGGAATTTCCAGTTAAGGTTAGCTCTTTAGCATTATTAGCATTATCATAGATTTGAGTAACGTTATGTTAATAATAGGCCTATTTGGATGGGATCTCCCTCCTTTCTGTGAGAAGGGTAGTTTAGTTGGCTATCAGGATTTGAATCGTATATGTAACGTTAGGTAATTTTTCACCCCTCTTCAGGAATAACTGCAGGCGAGAATAAACATTTAAATTTGGTTCTAGAATATTAGTTCAAGTCTATTTTTATTTATATTTCAACAAATATATTCCCCACCTCTCCTCGTAATTTTGTTTTAGTACATATGAAATAAACTAGCGGACTCATTACTGAGGCTGGGCAGATTGGCAATCCGAACGCGCTTTTTTCTAACAGTCTCATCTCTGAAATCAAATCAAATCCTCCTCAGAGTGCTGAAGCTACGAAGACTGAACACGGCAAGAATACTGTTTAAATATGCTTTATATGTACAGTTGCCAGTAACATTAAGGTTAATAAAGTAGTTAATTGCTTTGTTGGCATTTTTAATTGTGAAATTGCCTTGTGGAACGTTAGCTCTTCAGCACATTAGTATTATCGTAGATTTGAGTAATATCAGGCCTATTTAGACGGGATCTCCTTTTTTGTGAGACGCGGTAGTCCTGAGCGTATATGTAACTTTAGGTAATTTTTTACCCCTCTTCAGGAATAACTGCAGGCGATATTATGCTATATTTTTCATTTAATTTTGGTTCTGGAATATTAGCTCAAGTCTATTTTTGTTTATATTTTGACAAATATATTCCTCACCTCTTGCAATGTTGTTTCAGATAATTTATATGAAATTAAAAAAATACTAAGATACTGTGTGTGTGTGTGTTCTGTTGCAGCTTTACAGCTCATTCAAGTGCTCCAGTCTGGTTTTTGATTCTACATCATCCTTCAATATCCTACTTCATCTTTAAAAGTAAGCTAGAGTTTTAAATTTGATTTAGCAAACTAGTTTGTCAAATGCTGACAATGATTCACACTTCAGCTTTTAATGTGTAATCCTAAATGTGCAATGTCAAAATATTCATATCAATATTTAAGGTTAAATGTTTACAAACCTACTTTTACATCCTACATTTAACAGTAATCTTTGCTATGAGATGTCATGAAATTTTGTATGAAAATGTGCTTGTGTGATTAAAGGTGCTGTGAGAAAAATTCAACACCGATACTTGTTACTTATTTCAATGTTTTTGTCGCACTCTTGTCCTAAGGTTATCATAGTCAGCCGGATCCGGTCCGTATCCAGATCAGATGATGGACCTGCACCCTGAGACGACCACAACGCAGCCCTGAATGTCAGCGAAGACCACAACAAGTGAACATCACGACTGGACTGACATCAGCACAGATCCTCAGCAAAGACCACGAGAAACAGACAAGTCCTTTGCACAGACCCCTATGGCCAGCAATGAACGTGTCAGGCCAGGAGCTGCTAGGACCACAATGCAGTTTTATCCTGCTTATAGTCACTGTTAATCCAGTCGTCCACTACTGGCTAAACGGCAGCCCTGCTGGACAGACTACAACTTCTCCTCTGATCAAATGACAGCATGACGTATCCTGATCTTCAAGCAGTAGGAGCTGGATGAAATATTCTGAATGACATCAGTCCACAATCTCACTAGTGAAGCAGCCTGAAATCATAATCACATCATCTTTGTTCATTTAACCAGAGGAGAGCTGAGCTGACTGCTCCTGGTTTCTCCCAAGCTGTTTTTTTCTTCGTTTCAGTCACCAGCTGAAGTTTGGGTTCCACTGTCACCTCTGGATTGCTTAGCTGGGGTTTAAAAGGCACTGAATATTCAAGAATAATATTGATTTGATTGGACTGACACTATTGCATAATGACAAGACATGAACTGAATTGAGCTGGATTATGATATCACTATTTTCTCCAGAGATGCTTTATTGCCGAATCCACTTTGTTTCATAATGTATTAATTTTGCAACATTTTCACTGATAATTTAATTTTATTAAATCAATATCAAGCTGACACAAAGAGAATAATGAAACTTTTGTGTGCTATAAAATTCCTTAAGGCTGAATTGAACTAATTAATTAGTAAATATTAACTTTACAAAGTTATTGAACTGAATTGTCTTTTTAGAGGTAAAGTTTTTCATTAAATAAAACAATGTTTTTTTACAATTTGTGGTTGCGTTTTATTTTTTTTCATGTAATTACCTACTTTTTATAGAGTGTTTCATTATTACTGGCCAAGGAAAGTTTAGATTTTTTCAAGTTTTGAATTATTTTATGGTTTATTAATATTAATAAAGGGAGACATATTACACTTTTATAGAGCAGTCTAGTCTGTATAATGATTGTTGGCTCTATTTTAGGTATTTCCATAGCTAGTTTTGGCCAGATTACCCATTTTAAATAAGGTATAGGCTAGACCCACTAAATTAACGGGCCCAGATCGGATCCGGTCCGGATGAGTTACTTAATCAGCGGGTCCTGATCGGATCCGGTTCGGATCCGTTTCTTTATCAACGGGTCCGGATCGGATCCGGGCCGGATGAGCTACTTAATGACTTTGAACCCTGGTTAACAAGCAGATCTGCTGCGAGTTCGTGCAGCGCTGTCAGAATACATGCAATGCGGGCGTGTATTAGAAAACATAACGTTCTGCAGTTTATTTACTAATTGTTTAAGGCCATTTCGCGATTTCAATCATCATACAGTAACCAGCAACGATCCCCCCTTCCTCTTCTCATTGAAGACATGCGATGCAGTCCTAAACAGTCTCTCGCTGTCGGTGCTTGTAATGATTTTTGCGTCTTTCTCCGACAGTTTAAATGCTTCCACACTGCTGACGTGTGTGCTGCATAATAAAGAGTACGCGCCTCTCACTCTGCGCTGGTTGCTATTTGATCGCGTCACATCATTGTTCGGTACAATTTATTCGGTCTTTTCGCTTATTCGGTTCGGTTGCCGAACATTCGGTGCATCCCTAAATATAAATTCACGTCTCGCGCACTTTAATGCCCTTTGAATGTAACGTGTACGTTCCCTTGGAACTGGAATCAAGGCGGAATTTCATGTGAAGTCGCAGGGCACTTACTGTCGAATAAGACCACGCTTGAATGCTGCTGCCTGAACAAGAGACCTCCTTACTGAAGTGAAAGTGTTGGCTGGTGTCACTATCTCGCGAACGCGCCGGCGGATCTCCACCAAATTCGGGGGATCCCTTCAGCTGGAGGAGCCCTCTCAAACGCCACCCTCCGCGCGTCGGTATCCCCCCGGGATCGCTTGATTGTTCAGCGCCGGACCGCGAATTTAACCACCCGTAACTCCCGAACCCCGGGGGCTATCGACGCGGGGGTGGTCTCGTTCGAAAGCGGGCCTCTAGACGTACACTCGAGAGAGTTCTTCGAGCTGAAGGGATCCCTTCAATTTATTGCGGATTCGCCGCGCCATTACGGCGATATGGCTGTTCAAAGTTTCAATGGTTTTCCATAGACTTAAGCTTGAAAGCGTTTCAACCAGGTCGCCAGTAGCAAACAATGGAGCGCGCTCTGCTGGACAAACTAAGTAATTACACCATTTCAAGCAAGCATTTTATCTTGGCGGTTCTACATTGAATCACACCCTGGGCGAGACCCCCTTCGATCCAATCCCCCCCCCACCCCATTTTATTATAACAACAAAAGTGAAAGAGAACATTATATTTCTCAATTGCACAAATCCTTCATTAGAACATTTGAAAAACACACTTAAGAGAATCCAGTTATTTAACTATTATACAATCAGATATATAAAAAATGTAACAAGAACAGAGAGCAACAATAATATAAAATATTAAGAATAATATACAAATAAAATATAGAATAAATATTCTAAATAGCACAACTCCATCACACAAATGTGAAAACACACTAAAGAGAATCTAATTATTACACTATTGCACTAAGAACAGAAAACACAAACTAAAACCGGACCTTTCTGGCCTTCCTTGATGGAAAATCATCAATGATGTCATCGTATGAAATCTGCTCCCTTATTGAGTGATCGATACTGATGATGGCAAGGCCAGTGAGCCGTTCCTGGGACATGGTTGACCTCAGGTACGACTTGATCAACTTTAGTTTTGAAAAGCTCCTCTCTGCTTGAGCCACAGTGACTGGCAGAGTAAGTGCAATCCTGAGAGCAGTCCAAAAGTTGGGGTAGATCTTTATAATGCATAAAAGTGATAAGCTCAAGGAGGCTCATGGTCTCTGATGGCAGGTCAGGGAAGTTCTTAATTTCCTGCACAAGCTCTCTACTGTCCAAATCAGAGTG